GCCCGAACCCAAGGGAATATCAAACAATTAATATTTTATAATGAACAGGGAATACAGAATAAATTAAGAAATGAAATTAAAGCTGGAAGAAACTAAAAATAGAATCCGCAAAATATTATAATTATTAAAATTCATCAAACCCAAACTCCAAAACTCCATCAGTTTACAACTTGGGAATCCATCTCTAGTGGACCCCTATTAAACATCTAAACGGAAGATAGAACAAATGTAATAAACGTCCAGAAATAAAACTATAGAGAGAGCCCTACATCGTCGGAAGAGTGAATAGAGACCTCTGCTCAGCACAAACACGTCTAAGCCTGGAACTGTCGTGTACTTGAAAAATAGAAGTGGGTCAAGCCCACGCGCAAGTTCTATACTACTACAATCCAAACAGAGGCCCGATACGCGTGTACATCCTAAAAAATTCAACAATAGTTAATAGTCCATAAATATATATATAGTCACACTAAAGGATTCTCACTGGATTACAGGCCGGTCTCAACCTGAATAGAGGTAACATGCTAAAACGCACACGAAGTGGGCATATGTACCTATACCTAAACAGGGTACACCTCCAACCATCGTAGCCAGCTACACATCCCGATGCATATACGTTCCCTAGCCATCGGTCCTGAGGCTCAAGCTCATACCGAGGCACCATAACAGTACATATATAAAATCCATCCAAAATTCCTGGTTTTGTCGCTCAACAAGTAGTTGCCATGACAATACAAATCCACGGGACTTAACTTTTAGTTAATCCCATTCTTATTCCAAGTAGGTGGGTAATGGTATTGATTTAAAAACCAAACCCATCCTTAGTATGCCACCGTCCCATACTGGTGCCTACTTTCCAATCCTCCAGTAGTCAATAATACCAATAAATCAAGTATATATCAACTAAATTCCAACATCCAACATTCAATGTTAGCAGTGATAAAATAAGCATTGATAAACAGGGTCACAACAACAACATAAACATGCCCAATTTAAATTGTTCCCTTTAGTCTGATATAAAGACAGAATTAATTAAAACTTCCATTTAACACCTTACAAATGACATACAAATATGTAGGGTATGTATCACAAAATCCTAACCTCCACAGTTGATACTAACTGTGATAATGTAAACATCAAACAATATTCACAGTATGTATGTAGACATGCTCAAATTATAGTGTTCCACAAAACCGATCTAGTGTTAAACTCAAATCCTCCTAGTATTTAAGTTCCAACAGTTGCTATTACAGAAGTTAAGATAGCTATCATCTAGACCCATCCTTCCAATAATTTATACTAGCAGTGGTAAGGAAAAACGTGAACCACAGAACCACAATGCATCCACAAACATGCTTAGTCTAGGTTGAACAAGCATACAACACTACTGTAACTACCAGTTTCATAGCAAAACAGATATCATTTTAGTTTGGTTTAATCTTCATTAATCCTGGAATCATTTAAGAGTGTAAAGAGTATGAAGCCTAAGGGAAAGAGTAAGGATAGAATCTTGCCTCAGAAACTTTTGTTCAAAGTTTCAACGTCGTCTTCTTTAAAAATCCCGGCGAGTTCCAAAACCCGGTTACTGTTTATGGGTACGAAACACTATTCCTGAACTCAAAATCTGATCTTCCCCGTTCAGATTGTGTGACACTGAGTCATGAACCTATCCTCCAAATTTCAGCTCGATCGGACGACGGACGAAGCGGTATCGGATGTTTGATGAAATCTGGTCATAATGGAAAAAAACCTGTGCGACCCAGTTACTGTTCATGAGTACGAATCACTGTTCCCGAGGTCAAACTCTGATCTCCACCGTTCAGATTTTGCGTCACTGAGTCGTGAACCTCTCCTCCAAAATTTAGCTCGATCGGACCACGGACGAAGCGGGATTGGATGTTTGATGAAATATTGGCAGAATGTGAAAAACTGCGTTTTTCCTTCTCCACTTCCACAAAACGTGTGCTTTGTTTAAAAAAAACCCTACACAGACGTCTACCTTATACTTATAGAGTTTTCTTAAACCCTAGGTTCATTTAAGTCCAACTCACAATCCTAACCGGCCCATCCAATTAACGTAGAAACCTACGACGGCTATAATATAAAACCCTAGTTAGATGTATTTACCTAATTACCTTATTCACCATTAAATACTTAACAAAAAATCTAATTGAACAAAATAATAATTAGTAAACCCAATTAAACCAAATAAGACACACATAGAATAATTAAACCAATTACACTTAAACCATTAATGCCAATTAAATAATTAAAACACTAACAAGTAATTCCAATCAAATAACTAAACCAATTACACTTAAACCATTAATGCCAATTAAATAATTAAAATACTAACAAGTAATTCCAATCAAATAACTAAAAATAAATATAATTTAAAAAAATTAAATCACCACAAAAGAAAACAATTAAGTACCTAATAAAAAAAATAATGACACATAATCAAATAAAATGCACTTACATAATAAATTAAATACCATTAAATACCAGGAATATCCGTTTTAAAATTAGGAGTATTACATACTATTATTATTATTATTATTATTTATAAATATTAATATTTGAAAGATTTTATTTATTTTTTCCACTCATTTTTCTTTCCTTGAAACAATTTAAAAGAAATGCCCAACAACATTCATATCTTGTCTAAAGTCGTATAAATTCTACCAACCTTTGTATTTACAAAATGCCTAACAAGAGTTACGACTTCCTACTATCTATAATTAGGAGATAACTTGGTTTTACCTTGCATTGTAACATTGCAAGTATATAATTATTTTTTCATTTTCGGTGCATAATCTTCATTTTTTTATTCTTGGTATATTTTTTTGAAACGGGTCTCTTTGAGGTTTGACCCAATTTTACAAAGACTCCAATTTTTTTTTTTAAATTAACTTTTTGTCAGATAAAGTAATTAAAGTGACCAAAATATCCTTCAACTAAGTAAAAAAAATCCATTACAATGTTATGTTTAGTGTGCAGGAATGAAATGGAATGTCCATTCTAATAATTCTTTTGTTTGATATATAATTTAAAGTGGGAATTGCCATTCTATTGGAATGAAAATCCATTTCATAACTAAACCTATGGAATGGTTATTCCATTCCCAAGTAAATTTCTTTTAGAAATCAACTTCTCAAAAACCCTTATGTTCTAAGTTCAAAAACCACCACTACCTTTCACCACAACCACCGTTGCCTTCCGCAACTACCACCGCTATCGACTTTCACCACCGTCCACCGCTTTCCACCATCACCACCACTGCTATTGCCTTTTCACCACCAATAATGCCTTCCTTTGCCGCAACCACCGTCGCCGCCGCCTTCCACCAACAACACCGCCGTCGCCTTCCACCAAAGAATTGTCAATGTGGTAGGCTAATATTTCTTTAGATAGGCTAATAATAATAATTTACATACATACATATACATATATATATATATATATATATATATATATATATATATATATATATATTTGGGGTGGTGGGGGCCCACCCAAGTTTACCCCTGGATCCTCTAATGCCTTCCACCACCACCATCGCAATCGCCATCGCCTTCCACCACCGCCACTATCTTTCACCATTGCTATTGCATTCCACCACCACTAACGCCTTCCACCACCGCTACCTCCAATGCCTTCCACCATCACCACCACAGTTACTTCCATTAGCTTCCACTACCGCCACCTATACTACTATTTCCTTCCACCACCACCACCACCATACTACTGCCACTGCCCTTCCACCACCACCACTGCCAACTTCCATCCACCATACTACTGCCACTGCCCTTCCACCAACACCACTGCCAACTTCCATCATTGTTTCAATCGCCGCCTTACAACACCACTACCGCTTTCCACCTTTACCACCATTCATCACCATCATTGCCACTGCCACTGCCGCCATTTATTTTTTAAAAATTACAAAAGAATGTCATTTTGTTAATTTAATTAATTTGTTAAGAAAAGACATATTTTGGAGAACTCAATTTAAATTTTATTTTATTTTAAATAAATCCAATCAAATATTAAAATAATTATTATCATTTAATAGTTACATATTTTATATTTACGACCAAACAATTGTTATATTTTTCTCTCTTCCCCCCCCCCCCCACCTTTTATTTTATTTTTTTTTAATATTTTTTCGATTCGCTCTCTCGTCTTCGCGCGCTCTCTCTCTCTCTCTCATATTTTACTTTTACGTCCAAAGCTCTGTTTTCTTGGTTGAAAACATAAAACGAGGGCAGGTGATCGCTCCCAAAAATTTGAATTAGGGTTTGACTTGTTGGATCACAACTGCCAGCAGTGGCGTAGCCAGAAATTTCCTTCAGTGGGGGCAATTTTTAACAGCAATAATATATATATATACACAATATTTGAACCAAAATAATATATGTAAAAATTAAACAGTACTAAATATTTCAGAATATTTTTCATATTTTGAAAGTACGCAGTCGAGTTTTTAAAATGTTCATGGCATAACAATAGTAAATTTAGATGATAAAAAAATATATATCAGATTACCTGTCTCCGCACTGCAGTATTTGTTTGGATTTTGTGATTTTTTTAAATATTAAAGATTCGCCGAAAGAGAAATGTTGAAGATTGAAAATGTGATGGAAATTAACAACGCATTTGTTTGTGGTAAAGTCAAAAGTGTAAAAGAATATCTTATATTTTTTGAAAAAATGGAAAAGAATATAATATTTTGATTTTTTTGAAAGATTATATTCCTTTTTTTTTTTTTAATACATGAATGGTCATTTGGTTATATATATATAGTATATATATATATGTGCAATGTCAATTTTTAGTTAGGACAATTATACAAATATAAAATTCTTTCTACACAAAATTAAAAATAACTAAAAAAAATTAAAAATTCAGCGGGGGCAGCTGCCCCCACTTGTCCCTGCGTGGCTACGCCAGTCTGCCAGTGATTTTATGATATGATTTGGTGGGTAGCTAAGAAGCTTCTTTGCACGCAAAGCAGATTAAAGTGGTTTTCTGAGTCCTTCGACGAAGACTCAAGTGGTGAAGCTTTTCGAACGAATTTTCTGGGAAATATACGCATGTATATATCTATGTATATATATAACACGCTTTACTCTATTGTTTGTCCTTGGTAATAAGAGTGTGTATACTGTTTAATAATTGACTTTGATTCAACGCGGTTACGAGGGTAACGAAGACTCAAGGGTGAAGATTGCTCATACATACATACATACATACATATATATATATATATATTGCTGTGTTATGTACTCTATACTTGTATATGCACATCAGAGTGTGGAGAGAGAGGAGAGTTCTAAAGAGAGAAAAGATGGGAGCAGAGACCAGCAGAAATCAATGTCCTGCGACGGATATCAACGCATTGCCGGAGAATTGCATAGCGAACGTGTTGTCTCTGACGTCTCCTCTGGAGACTCTCGGGCTTTCGTTGGTGTCATCCACTTTCCGGTCGGCTGCGAAATCCGACCCAGTTTGGGAGAGATTTCTGCCATCAGATTATCAGGACATCATTTCTCGAGCGTTCGATTCTTCTCAGCCTGTTTTCACATCCAAGAAAGAGCTCTATCGCTACCTCTCCACACATCACCTCATCATCGACGGTGGCTCCAAGGTAAAATATCGAAATATACACTGCATGATTATACTTGAATGATGTGTAATTTAGGGATATATGTGGGTTTAGGGTTTTATATATTCAAAACTTAAATGCGTTTAAACTTTATGCCTTTAATTAATATTATATATTATATACATGATTGTAGAAATACGTGGAAAATATGTTCAAGAATTTAAATGTTTTAGACTTTAGGGTTGAAAACATATCCAAAATTTTAATGGGATTAGAAATGAATGAAAATTCTCTCCTTCAAAATTTCGACATATCAAATGCAATTATGGTTGAATGAAGTCGAATGCCTAACCTCCTTCCCGGTGACCGGCTTTCTACACAGCCCCTATTGGTTCTAAGGTAAAATTTCAACATATCAAATGCAATTAGCTCTATATGTGTTTGTTTGCCTGAGCCTCCCCTTGCTTGATTGAGCGGGAAAAATGTGTGCGCAACTCCAAGGGTTCAAAGGTAATCCAGCTAGAAATGAAAGAAAATTATCTCCTTCAAAATTTCTTAAGTGTGCATAGAAATTATTACAGTATAAATTTATAGGTTGTGACCAGATGACATGGGGTGTCGGTTTAGGAAAATTAGAAAAAGCCCAAACTTTTGTCATTATTTTACACGCACAAGTAGCTCTAGATTCAGAAACCGCGCCCTCACGTACTGACAAAGAACACCCGAATTTTCACATTTGTCAGTCGAGCTTTTACCATTATACCAAGCAATATAATATTAGACTTATTATACTGCACAAGATCCATATAATGTGAATAGAAATTGACTTGATATTTGAAGGTCGAAAATGGAACTGGTGTCCTAATAAACGTGGCAGTCATATCTGTTAAAAAGTATCTCCTTGTAGATATTTAGCTTTAGACTGGAAGACGAAACAGGGCATCTTAAATTGGGGAGAGGAGACTTCCAAATCATTGTAGACACCGGAATTCTTAATTTTCAAACTATAAGTTCGCAACAAGTTGAACACTTCACAAATTATTTGCAAGTGTGATCAAATTTGGTTCAAAATGGAACCAACAAGTATTTCGAATAGAGTTGTTGTGAGAGTGAAGGTGGATACTGGCCATTGGCATATTCCGTCTCAGGGCTTTGCTTACCAGATGGAAAAATAAACTACTTGTCTGCTTCTGTTTCCTTTGCTTCCCTCTACTTGTTTGTTTAATTCTAATAACCAAATATCTAATTTTTCAGTTAGTGACCGCAAGTCTCCCAGTATGTTGTATCACTAGTTAATTACGGATAATCATTTATAATCTTCAAATAGAGATGCCCGTGCTTATGTTTATGCTCACACGATGCCTAGTACCACAAATTTCGGGTTGGTTATTAGTCCGTCTGTGTTGCAAAACGTCCTGTCAAAAGCCATCTTTGCTTGTGATCGCAGATTCGTGTTATTCATTAATGTTGCACAGCATGTAATTCTTGTTAACTTTGTTTTGTACCTTTGAGTTGAATCATATGATTCACAGGGGTGAGTCCTCTGTTCTGTTTTGGAGCTTTCTTTTTCTCTATCTACTACTCTTCAACATTATGGTCACTATAAGCAGTTGAGAATTTCCACTTGGATGGTTGCAATCTACTCTATACACATTGTTTTCTTCAGTGTTCATTTTCTTACATATATATATATCTAACTCCTCACTGGTGGCATGAAGCAGAGTTTTACATTGGATAAACGGAGTGGGAAGAAATGTTTCATGTTAGCTGCAAGATGCCTCACAATTATTGGGAGTGATACACCTATGTGTTGGACATGGAGTTCTCTAACCGAGTCCAGGTCTATCTCTAACACTGTTGGTTATTTTCTTCGTTTGTTTTCTCAATCTACATATATGGTGTTAATAATTTAACAAGTCCAAATCCACAAAATCAGATTCACTGAGGTGGCAGAGCTTGTCAATGAACGTTTGCTTGAAATTCGTGGGAAGATAAGTACTCAGCTGCTATCGCCAGACACAACCTATGCAGCTTACCTTGTGTACAACTGGACGACAGAAGCATATGGATTTGAAACCCATCCGGTAGAGAGTTGGGTACGACTTAGTGGAAGTGAAGGAGAATTAAGGAGTTTTTGTCTGTCCGCTAATGGACGGCAGACGCGTAGTACTCGAACCCGTACTTTACCAGGGCGAATGGTTTTTAACGGCAGCACTACTATGCGGAGACCAAAAGTTGCTGTGGCAGGAGAAAGCAATGATCAATATCCGAAGCAGAGAGGGGATGGGTGGATGGAGATGGAGTTGGGTAAGTATCTCAACAAGGGCGGAGAAGATGGGGAACTAGAAATATGTTTGCAAGAAGTGAATGGCGGACACATGAAAAGTGGCCTCATTCTTCAAGGAATCGAAATCAGACCAAAGAATAATAGTAAATGAATGAATGAAAGAATGTCTATGTTTTTTTGCTGTTGGATCGAACTCAGGGTCCACGATGCGTTTTGCAGCATTCTTGTTCAGTTATGAGGTTTGAATAGCAGATAATTTGAGCTATGTTTGAGATTGTATGAACCATTATTCCTCAATGTTGCAATCATAATTCCACTATTCATGTTTGAAACTTTTCTTTTGAATTCATTGATATTTTATTGTTTATTCTGTTGGGAAAGATGACAATAAACAAACACAGCGGAATCATTCTTCTCCCTATATGCAAACAAATATAATATATCTCTAGTTTTATATGTGCTGAAAATAATAGAGAAACAATCAATCATACAAAGCCACAAGAACACAAGCAATTTTTTATGTGGAAAACTTCCCCAGTGTGAGGAAGAAAAACCACGGACCTAATCCAGTTAAAAACTCCACTATCAACCAAATAGTGGGTACACAAAGTCTTATCAACCAAATAGTGGGTACACAAAGTCTTTCTCTAATCGCAATTAGAGGTTACAATACATCTCATCAAGATATCAACAATCTTGGCAAAAACAAAGAGAATTGGAGAGAAAAATACCAAAACCCGGTTACTGTTCATGGGCACGAATCACTGTTCCAGAGTTCAAAATCCGATATCCACCGTTCAGATTTTAACTCATTGAGTTGTGAACCTTTCCTCCAAATTTCAGCTTGATCGGACCACGGAAGAAGCGGAATCGGATTTTTGATGAAATCTGGGCAGAATAGAAAAAACCAAAACCAAAACTCGGTTACTGTTCACGAGTACGAATCACTGTTCCCCAACTCAAAATCCGATCTCCACCGTTTAGATTTTAACTCATTGAGTCATGAATCTCTCCTCCAAATTTTAGCTCGATTGGACCACGGACAAAGCAGGATCGGTCGTTTGATGAAATCTAGGCAGACTAGGAAAACCTGCATTTTTCTTCTATTTCTTATGAAAACTACGGCTGATCTCTCTCCCTTTTTATTCCTCCCTAAAGAAGGAAATAAACCTAACATATTCTTGGATATTCCCATTATTCTCAATGTTTATTCTCACTGCTTACAAAGGACCATGACTTCCAAAAAAAAACACTTACTGACACATCAGTTTTAACGTTCATTCAACGCATACCTAGTGCCCTTCTGTCATTGTTGTGCTCTGTAGTCTGCACTTGTATATGCACATCAGACTGTGGAGAGAGAGAAGAGATGGCAACAGAGACTAGCAGAAATCGATGTCCAGTGACTGATATCAACGTATTGCCGGAGAATTGCATAGCAAACTTCTTGTCTCTCACGAGTCCTCCAGAGACTTGTCGGCTTTCGTTGGTGGCATCCACTTTCCGGTCGGCTGCGGAATCTGACTCAGTTTGGGAGAGATTTCTGCCGTCAGATTATCAGGACATGATTGCCCGAGCGTCCGAGCCGCCGGTTTTCGCATCCAAGAAAGAGCTTTATCTGAGTCTCTCCGATCATCCCCTCATCATCGATGATGGGACTAAGGTAAAATTTCAAGTTTCACACGGTATTCTTGATTGTGATTAGACTTGAATTATGTGTAATTTATGAAAATATGTTCAAGATTTTAGCAGGTTTAGGGTTTAGGTTTAATATATTCAATATTTTAATGTGTTTGGACTTTAGGGTTTAGAATATAGTTAATTTTTTTTTAATATGATTAGACATAATGATTGTGATCAGGCCAAATTCAAAATATCAAATCCAATCAGACAATTAGTTTTGTGGATTTTCAGGAAAGTGCTTTTTTTTTGGGGACAAAATATGTTTGAATTGATAACTAGTTCCTGTATATGTATGGAAAGTGATTTGTGGTAATTCTTTAATCTTGAATTGTGCATAGAAATTATTATAAATCTCATCATAATCATAAAATGTGGACAGAAGTAAACTTAAGAATGTGCATGGAAACTATATGTTCACGATCATAAATTGAAGGTTATAACCAGGTGACATGGGGTGTTGATATAGGAAATATACTAAAAAACAATACTTTACACACAAATGTTGCTCTAGATTCAGAAACCACAACCTCACATACAGACTCACATTCCCACACTTCTCAGTCGAGCTTTTACCATCATACCAAGCAATAGAATCTAATGATAATATTAGACTTATTATAGCGTGCAAGATCCATATACTGTAAATAGAAATTGACTTCAGATTGGAAGGCTAAACATGGGCATCTTCAATTGGGGAGACGATAATTCCAAATCACTGTAGATACCGGAATTCTTAGTTGTCAAACTATAAGTTAGCAACAATTTGAACACTCCCCAAATTATTTGCCAGTGTGATCGAATTTGTAGCGTTGGTTCTTTTTCTCTATCTACTACTATTTAACCATTATGGTCACTATACGCCGCATTGAACTAAATTTTGGGTAGTTGTAATCTACTTTATACACATTGTTTGCTTCAGTTTTCATTTTAATATCTCTCTCTAACTTCTCATTGGTGGCATTAAGCAGAGTTTTTCATTGGATAGAAGGAGTGGGAAGAAATGTTTCATGTTATCTGCAAGATACCTCACAATTATTTGGGGTGATACACCTGAGTATTGGAGATGGATTTCTCTACCGAACGAGTCCAGGTCTATCTCTCACGATGTGTTGTTCTTTTCTTCTTTTGTTTTCTCCAATCTAAATGTATGGTGTTAATAATAACTTAACGAGTCCAAAACCACAAAATCAGATTCACTGAGGTGGCGGAGCTTCTCCATGTTTGTTGGCTTGAAATTCATGGAAAGATAAGTACTCAGATGCTATCGCCAGACACAACCTATGCGGCCTACCTTGTGTTCAAGTGGGCAGCAAGAGTGATTGGCTTTAGATTCGAATACAAACCTGCAGAGAGTTGGGTACGACTCAGTGGGAGTGAAGGGCAATCAAGGAGTTTTCATCTGGATACCAATGGACGGCAGAGGCGTGAAAGGTGTGTTGTACCACGGCGAAGGGTTTGTCACCGCAACATTATCCGGAGGAGACAAGAAGTTGACGCGCTAAGAGAGAGTGGCCAATATCCAAAGGAGAGAGGGGATGGGTGGTTGGAGATGGAGTTGGGTGAGTATCTCAACAAGAGTGGAGAAGTAGGGGAACTAGAAATATGTTTGCAAGAAGTGAAGGACGGCAACTGGAAAAGTGGCCTCATTCTTCAAGGAATTGAAATAAAGCCGAAGATTAGTACTCCTGTCCAAAATAGATGGGTAATTAGTGAAGGACGGCAACTGGAAAAGTGGCCTCATAAGTACCCAACTATTAAAGTATTCAACTATTTTGGGATAGATAAATGAAATAAAGAATGAATATATTTGTAGCCACCGATTGAAGTGGCCGATTAAACCTAATTGTTCATGCTATGTGGTGTATTATGATGCGCTTGCAGCCTTCTTCTTGTTCTGTACGAGCCATTTGGGTTGGTGAACTTTGTGTATTATGAGGTTTGAATAGCAGAAAATTTGAGCTATGTTTGGGGTCTGTATGAACCATTTGGGTTGATATAGATTTCTTTCTCTTTTTTTTCTTTTTTTTTTTTTTCTTCCTAAAATCAAAAATAAAAATCGAACTCCAGTTATGTGACTGCTGCTTCAGTAGCAACATTTGAATGCTGTATCTGATCATTAAATTAAATGATACCCTAATGGTTATGATCTAGATCCAACAAGAACTATTGTTCTAAATTTAAAATATTATTAAAAGGATATTTGCAGTTGATTCAACCTGGTTTTAGTGGGATTTTATCACTCAAAATTTAGCGTATTTTTATGATATATATATATATATATATATATATATATATATATATATATATGAGTCCTGATCACTTGTTCAACTGCTTGTCATTTTTTTAAGTACTACGAACTATTCTAGATATTTTTAAGGGTTAATTACAACGACACCCCCTAAAGTTTGTCGTATTGACAGGCATATATAAGTTAATCATTTTTCGGATAATGAGACCTCCTGAAATTTGATAAAGTTGACAAAACACCCCTTAACACCATCTGTACACCGATACTTTAAAAATCGACCAATTTACCCTTTGACTTGTCAATTAAATCATTGAGATTTTGAAATTACAAATTTAACCTTCTAAGTAATTTTAATTAACTAAACTTACCATTCATCACTATACCGTTTACATACACCGAATACACATATATGCGTATATATATACACTACATCGAGGAAGATCTAAGTACCGAGGTTGAAACCTGGGGTTCGCCCTCTATTTCGATGATGGTGGCGATATTTTAACAACTCCAAATAAGGGCTTTACCATATTTCTAACTAAGAACAGTAATCGGAAAAAGATTTGAGATTGGAAGAGAGAGGGCGGCCGAAAGTCCCATAAGTCGAAAAATAACAATTCTGCATCAAAGGATACAACTGAGGCGCCAAAGTCACCCAGCATGTGATAGTCTTCAGTTTTTGTTTTGGGAGTGAGGACATCTCCTATATATATATATAGAGAGAGAGAGAGAGAGAGAGAGAGAGAGAGAGAGAAGAAGAGGGTGGTTGCCACCTCCACTGGCGGCACACTACCATAGCCACCATCACCAACGCCTCTCTCTCTTCCCTCTCTTCTTCACAGCCCCGCTACACCTACACCCACACCCACACCCACGACCACCATATTACAGCCCCACCACCACCACATCACAAACCAGCCACCACCACATCACACCCCCGCCACCACTCCACGGCCCAACCATACCCGCCACCACTCCACTGCCCAACCTCGCCACCCATCACCACCACCAATCCACAACCCCATCACAACCATCCCCACCATCACTTCGAAGAAATGGAGGAGCAATTGGTGGTGGAATAAAGGTTGCCAAACCACCATCTTTGCGCGCAATCCCTCTCTGCGAACCATAAATTTCCATTGCTCTGACAAAATTGAAGCCCCGATATCTTTACTGCCTCGTGCTCGTTGACCCTAATTCAAACCCCAAAACCCTAATTTCGACACCGAAACCCATGGCGATGATACCGCGATAGAGGACGGTAGAGCCTTCGAGCTTGAGAATGGAGCTAAAGGTTGGCCGGAGTGAGAGGTTTGAAGATGGGCACGAATACCCATTTGTCTGCATGCAGATTTTGAGGGTGTCGACTAGGAACAGGCGTTCGACGGATTCGGCGACTATGATGATGGTGAACAGTGAGCTTTCCAAGCTCACTCTGATAGTGTCAAAGGAAATCGAGGAGATCGGTGGGTTGAAAGGGTAAAGATAGAGAGCAAACCTATGATTTTTTTTTCCCTAAATGGAGAAACCTTTTATTTAAAAAAGGGCAATTCTGTCATATACATATTTTTGATATTTTAGATTAATAATTGATATTTTATTGAAGGGCAATTTTGTCTTTTCATAACTTTTAAGGGTTTGTTTGAATTAAATTTCTGACAGGGGTGTGAGTGTTAAAAAAATGGCTAACTTATATATGTCTGTCAATACGACAAATCTGGGTGTCATTGTAATTAATCGTATTTTTAATTTCCAAAATTTATACTACCCATTATACAAAAATAAAAAAAATAAAAATTATTATTTTTCTTCTCTCTCTTTTTTCCTTCCAATTATTTTGACAAGTCAAAGAAATCTGAAAGCATCACAAGGATTTCTCAGGATCAAAATCGTTATCTTAATCAAAACATAGATTACGAGAGATCTAACACAAGGAATGCAAATTTTGATCCATACACTATCTGCTTAGAGTCGTATAAAGGTCAAACCTTTCCTACATTACAATGAAAATGATAGAAAGCTATTAACAAAAATAAACAAATATGTTAATAATATTTTCTCAAAAATTGAATATGGCTGAAAAATATTTCGAATTCAAATATTGATTAATATGAGACAATTTTTTTAATTTTTTATTTTTAATGTTAAGTTTAGGAAATTTTAAATGGGAGAAAAATGGTTTTATAAGATTAAAAAAAATAATAATAATAAAATAAAATATTGGTTTGGAATGGTTATCGTAAATTGTGTTCATATGAAATTTATTCAAATTTTAGGGGAGGGTAGTGTAATTTATCCAAAATTTTATACTTCTGACGTGCGTTAAAAACTCAACGACCTTATCGACATATTGCAAACACATCACAAACGCTTTAAACACGGTTTTAATCGTCTGTCATTATGAAAAACCTAACGGCGAAGATTGCAATCTTATATGATATTATATATATATATATATATAGACACACACATTATGTTCTGTAGTCTGCGCTTGCATATGCACATTAGAGTGTGGAGAGAGAAGAGATGGCAACAGATACCAACAGGAATCCATGTCCGGAGACCGATATCAACGCATTGCCGGAGAATTGCATAGCCAACTTGTTGTCTCTGACGAGTCCTCCAGAGACTGGCCGGCTCTCGTTGGTGGCATCCACTTTCCGGTCGGCTGCGGGATCTGACTCAGTTTGGGAGAGATTTCTTCCCTCAGATTATCAGGACATAATTTCCAGAGCGTCCGATTCTTCTCAGCCCGTGTTGGCATCCAAGAAAGAGCTTTATCTCCGCCTCTCCGATCATCCCATCGTCATCGATGGTGGGAGTAAGGTAAAATTTCGACTTTCACACTGTTCTTGATTGTGATTAGACATGAATGATATTATAATTTATTGTTCCTGTGGTAGATATGTTCAAGATTTTGTTACCGATTGTGATTAGACATGATGTGTAATTTACTCTTTTGTGGGAATATATTTTCAAGATTTTATGAGTTTAGGGTTTAGGGTTAATATATTCAAGATTTTAATGGGTTTAGGGTTTAAAATTTTAATGGGATTAGACATGAATAATTGTGATCATGCCAAATTCTCTCCTCCAAAAGACCAAACTATCAAATGCAGCAATTAGTTTTGTGGATTTGTAGGTGGGGAATTTTTCTTATTATTTCCATTATATATCTATATTTTTATTAAAGTTCTAATACTGACCCTACTAAATATTTTTTATGTATATACTCACCACCACTAAGTTTTAGTCCATTAAAAAAATTAGTAATCAACATGTCAATGGTAGAGCCCGTGTTGACTCGTAACCTTCGAGAGCAAAAGCTCTAAACCCCCCCCCCCACCAAATGGGTTGTCCTGCCCTAATTTTGCTAAAATTCCGATTTAGAATCGGGGTAGAATCGTACACTCCACAAAAGAAGGTTGGGATACAAAATAAGAAAGACACGATTGGAGGCTCACCTAGCTATGAAGGAATGGGAAAATGGCTTCGCTGCATTTCGGCCGCCACCTAAACCACCGGACTAAGTGATGATGATATACGGGATGCATCTTTCTTTTCTTTTTTCTGGATGCCGACAAGCATGTGGTAGTTTCCATCGCTGTTGTCTGCCTCCTCTCATCTGTTCTTTTTGTGAAATATTCCATCGTTGTTGGCTGCTACCTTCTTTTGGTGGAGGATTGCTGGGTTACTAGGCCTCACAATAAGTGGGCTTAAGGTTGTGACTCATGTTACCTGGCTGTTTGGGTTTCTTCGGCCCAAAAATGTAATTATTGTCTCTCTTTATAAAAAATTTGCTTAACATTCCAATAAATAAATAAAGTCACTGCACGGCATCATTATCCTCCTCTAGAATTGATTTTTTTTTTTTTTTTTGGCCTTTGAAAAGTTTGCTTCAGCCCATACACCTCGGTTGGAATTATTTTTCCATTATTATTTTTATTTTATATTATATTCAGAAACTTGAAACATTAAACATAAATTCAAACACACTACCAACTTGACTATTATACTCTTTTGATTTAAGTATAATTATAAATATATATAATATTTTTGCTCGAGTTGGGTTTCGGGCTTCATTCATATCCACCCAAGCCCAGCCCGAATTGAATTCGAGCTCAAAATATATAATCCAAGCCCAAATCGAAATTATAAAAACATTGTCCAAGCCCACAAAATTTCGGATTGGGCTCGCCCGAGTTGCAGCCCACTTCTAACTAAACCGGGTCAATTGCAAAGTCTAAAAAAACTTGCCCACCTCATTTGAATGAAACTCTACTTCTTAGTTCTTTGGCCAAACTTTGTCGGATATCTATAGATAACGCAAGTTCAAGAGCTTTGAAGCTTGCAATGCTTGCTTGACAGAGAGAGTCACTCCGATTAGTGATTAAAAAAGCTACCCGCATTTGGAATAGTATGTGTTAAGCATATAGTGATAGCCCTAATTATGATCCAGGATCAATTATCATCTAGAGTATGATTGGGACATGCAGTAGTAGAACCCGCTGAACCAGCCTTACTTCCAAACCTTCGGTGGACCTTTATTCTCTTATGATCTTATGATTTTAGCTACTTGTTGACTTTTTCATTTAGTTTGTGTTTTTTTGTTTGTATTTTTTTTTCAAACGAAGAAAATATGGAGGCATATTTAATTATATACCGTATATTCAGAAAATTAAGTATATTTAATGACATTGAAAATGTGATGCAATCTTTTCAATAGCATTTTCAAATGGTGAAAACTAATCGTATACAATTATAATTGTATTGAATGGAAATATTGCCAATCAACATTTACATATTTGTATTATCATCTTTTCCCCAAAATTCTTGTCCGTCACTGCAGGAAGGTGCTTTTTTGGGAGAAAATATGTTTGAATTGTAGTTCCTGTAGTGAAGCATGCATATGTGTAGGGAATTAATTTATGGTAATATCTTTATCATGAACTGTGCATAAAAGCTATTATAAATTTATAATCATAAACTGTGCATAGAAGCTATTTATTAGAAATTCTATGTTAGTAATCATAAATGGAAGACGGCAGAGGAAAATTATACAACCTCTTAACTTTCGAAATTATTTTTCTGACTACTTTCGATTCAGAACCTACATCCTTACCTTCAGATTCAGAACCCGTAATAAATTAAAGGTTGTAACCAGGTGAAATGGGGTGTAGGTATTGGAAAATTACAAAAACACTAACTTTTAACATTATCTTACACACATAGGTTGCTCAAGTTTTAGAAACCCCTCAGACTAAGAACCCACATTCTCACACTTGTCAGTTGAGCTTTTACCATCATACCAAGCAATTATCATAATATCAGACTTATTATACTGTACAAGATCCATATAGTGTGAATAGAAGTTGACATGAGATTGGAAGTCGAAAATGGAACTAGTGTCCTAATCAACATCGCAGCCATATGTCTTTCTAGATATTTAACTTTGGATTGGAAGGCTAAACACGGGCATCTTGACCAGACTTCCAAATCACCATAGACACCGGAATTCTTAATTGTCAAACTATAAGTTCCAACAATTTGAACACTCCCCAAATTATTTCCAAAATGTGATCAAATTTGTTATGAGTGAAGGTGGATACGGGAAATTGGGATATTCTATCTCAGGGCTTTGCTTACCGGCATTTGAAGAAAAAACTATTTATCTGCTTCCATTCCCTTTGCTTCCTCTACTTGTTTGTTTAATTCTAATACCAAATATCTATTTTTTCAGTTAGTAGTAGCTGCAAGTCTCCCAGGATGTTGTATTACTAGTTAATTATGTATAATCATTTATTGTCTTCAAAAAGAGATGCCCTTGAATCACATGCGCATATGTTTACGCTCACACGATGTCTAACACAACAAATTTTTGGTTGGTTATGAATCCAGCTGTTTGCGTGTTATTCATTAAGGCTGCATAGCATGCAATTCTTGTTTACTTTGTTTTTTTTACCTTTGAGTTGAATCATACGATTCACATGGTGGAGTCGCCGGTTCTGTTATGGAGCTTTGGTTCTTTCTAGTCTTATTCTGTCTACTACTATTTAACATTGTGGTCACTGTAAGCAGCATTGAGCTGAATTCCCTTTTGGGTGGTTGCAATCTACTCTATCTATAGACATTGTTTGCTTTAGTATTCGATTTCACATATATCTAACTTCTCATTGGTGGGTATTAAGCAGAGTTTTTCATTGGATAAATGGAGTGGGAAGAAATGTTTCATGTTAGCTGCAAGATACCTCACAATTATTTGGGGTGATACACCTGAGTATTGGAGATGGATTTCTCTACGGAACGAGTCCAGGTCTCTGTCTCACACTGTTATTCTTTTCTTCTTTTGTTTTCCCCATCTAAATGAATGGTGTTAATAATTTAACGAGTCCAAAACCACAAAATCAGATTCACTGAGGTGGCAGAGCTTCTCCATGTTTGTTGGCTTGAAATTCGTGGGAAGATAAGTACTCAGATGCTGTCACCAGACACAACCTATTCAGCTTACCTTGTGTTCAAGTGGGCAGAAAGAGTGACTGGATTTGGATTCGAAAACGGACCTGCAGAGAGTTGGGTACGACTCAGTGGGAGTGAAGGGCAATTAAGGAGTTTTTATCTGGATACTAATGGACAGCAGAGGCGTCGGACGGTTCGAACTGCACGAATGAGTACTATTTGGAGACCACAACCAACCGAAGGCAACAATGTTCCACCATATCCGAAGAAAAGAGGGGATGGGTGGTTGGAGATGGAGTTGGGTGAGTATCTCAACAAGGATGGAGAAGATGGGGAACTAGAAATATGTTTTCAAGAAGTGAAGGACGGCAACTGGAAAAGTGGCCTCATTGTTCAAGGAATCGAAATCCGGCCGAAGAATAGTAAATAAATGAAAATATATATTTGTAATAACTTTCCTTTGTTTTGGAATTGAATTGGCTGTTGGAACTTGGAACTTGGTGTCCTTGCTATGTGGTATATTATGCTGCGTTTTGCAGCCTTCTTGTTCAGTTATGAGGTTTGAATAGCATAAAATTTGAGCTATGTTTGGAAGCTGTATGTATGAATCATTTGGGTTGATGTACATAACATCTTTTTCTTTCTTTCTTTTTCCATTTTTTTTTTTTTTTTTAAATAAAAATAAAAAAAATTTGAACTTAAGTTATCTGACTGCTGCTTCTGTAGTAACGTTTGTTTGCGGCTTTTTATCAGATCATTAACTTAAATGATACCCAAATGGTGTTAATTTAGATCCGGCAAGAACTAACTATTTTTCTTTTTTTATAGCAGTGAGATATTACAAATGGAGCCTTTTCAATCAGAGGAAAGTTTTTTTTTACCAATCAAGACAAGTCATTCTATCAAATGAAGAGCAAATTCGCCCTGTCCCGCCTCTAATGTTTTTAATTTATAATTTTTAGGTTAGAGGTGTTTATTTTTTTTGCATCTCTCAATAGGTATTGATTTTTATTTTCTGCTGCAAATTTCGCTTATAATTTTATCAATAGGTCACTCATTTCCATTTATTTACCGTGATTTAAATTTATTATACTAAGTTAAACAGGGGAAGTTGGAGATAGTATACCGATTAAAAACCCCTTTTGAAGTAAGGGCGAAATTGGTGTAAATATTTTCCAACAAAGCGAAATAGGGACATGTCCAAGAACAAATAACCAAGCCCATCGTATATGAAGCCCAGAAGTCCAAGCCCAGCATCGAGTCACTCAGTCATTGTACTTATTATAAGAACAATTCTTACCATCGATATGGTAAGCAAAAATAGATTGAGAAATATCTCATAATATAAAATATTAAAAAACAAATCCAAGATTAAACCTAACATGATTCAAATCAAACTCTAATTCTCTCTCTCTCTCACTATCCTATCGCGAGATCAAATAAATATCATGGGCAAAATTCTCTGAATCTCTTTGGCTTAATTTTCAACTCTCTTTTTTTTTTTTTTTTTTTTTTTGATGGAGTGTTTTGCATGAATTGCACTTACCATTGCAAATTTTTGCACCTACAAGTTTGAAAATATATTTCACAAGATATGGTAGGCAATTGGTATAGGTAATAGGAAATATATATCTAACATATACAATATATAGTAGGCAATTGGTATTTGCACCTACAAGTTTGAAAATATATTTCCAACATATACAAGATAGAGTAGGCAATTGGTATAGGTAATAGGGAAACATATTTCCAAACGTATACAAGATAGGCAATTGGTACAGGTAATAGGCACATATTGCCCCATTGAAAATTTTATTTTTGGTATCATATACCTTTTTTATTTTTTATTTATTTATTTTTTTGAATTATATACTTATAAAATTTTTAAATTGTTCACACTAAAATTTTAAAAAAAAATTTATTATTGCCCCCACATAATGGTTAGAATTTATTTTAATTTTGATATTGTTACAGGTTGCCCCTCTCACATAGGTTTTAGTGTTACAGTTTGCAGCCTATTTTGATCTTATTGTCAAAGTGAAATTCATTCAACAGTAAATATTAGATGTGCTTATCTTGATCCTATTGCCAAGTGAGTTAATTCAACAAGTAAATATTGAATGCACCAGGCGCGTCATGTCAATAATATACCCATCCAATGAAATATAATAAATAATTTCGTTATCAGTAATTTTATAAGTAGGTGAATCAATTTTTTTTGAAATAACGCATTATCATCAAATGAGTACATTAATGACATGGTGCACCGCTGTACTCAATCTATAATCGGAGGTTGGTGAGGTTTTTGAGTGAAGCCATATAATTAGAAATTCTATTTATTATATATTTTTGCCCTTTTCGCATATAATAGCAACTCCAACGCAGACCGGCTCTGGTGATTTGGGCTCATTTTAGCGACCCAACTGCTCCATTGTGGGTAGCTAAAACTAGGCCAATTGGGGTATTGGTTGCTGTTTTCGGCGACCCTGTTAGTGAGCGCGGGCCTGCCATGTAGGCCCGCCTGTATTTTCTTTTCTTTTTTTAATTCTGACCCAAGTTACTATTTAGCCCAGATTTTGAATTTGAAGGTCATGTTTGCCTGAAATAATACCCAAAAATCGGATTTTTGAGTTATTTTAGTCTCTCTCTTTTTTATTTTTTTTTCTCAAAATAATTGAACCAAAGAGCCGTTAAGACACTGTTTGGCTGACAAAAACAGTGCCTTAAAGGCTTTTTTGGGCCAAAAAAGTTTTAAAAATGGAGAAAAGTGCTTTTTTTTTTTTCTTTTTTTTTTTTTTTTTAGATATTCCTATTGTATTTTTATCGTATTGTTTTGATTTTCATAATTCATAATAAATATTATATTGTTTAATTTTTTTTGTAAAAAATATTAATATTTTTTAAGAGCGAAAATGCACCATTGGAGTATATGCAATACCTAAAATTTGAAAATTTTAAAACACTGACGTAATTATGAAAAATGCTGACATGATTATTAAAAAAATGCTCATACGACAAATTCGGAGAACTTAATTTTAGAAATTCCATTAAAAATGCTCTAAGTCAACTTTATATTAGCAATTCTATCGTGTCACCAGAGGGGTCTTCAAACTCAAACAGTTATTCTTCAAATGTAAGTCAACTTTATATTATATATATATATATATATATGGCAAGTTACTTGTATTTTAATTTCATTTTTGTTACTTATTGTTTCATTGCGTTTTTCGTAGACGAGAACCAACAGAGAGAGAAGACGAGGGAGGACATTTTTATCTTCAAGCAAAAACCTTCTTTCCCTTTTGTTATTTTATCATGTATTTTTTTTTTTTTTTTTTGGCCTTTTTGACTTTTCTTTTTGACCCGACAATCAATTTATGATGTACGTTGACTTTTACTTATTTATATAATGACCCCTCCCCAAACTAAATTCTTATAAAATTCTCAAAAAGATGCATTTTGTCCGGCCAAATTTCAAAAATACTTGCGCATTTTTATCCTTCTATTGGATCCCACAATATTTTTAAACAAATTTAAAAGTCAACAAAACAACAACAGGCATGTAAATTAGTTAATTTATTTGTTATTTTTCAATTAACATTTTTCGATTGTCTTTGACTATAAAACTATATTAGCTTGGAACTAGTTAGAAAGGTTAATTAGTATTTAGGTTATTTTATCAAATTTAGAAGACTTTTATTAAATAAAAAATAAAAAGATTAATGGATACATTTATATATTTATATATCTATATTTATTTATATTATTTTAGCAAGTGATTAAGATCGTAGAGTCTAATTTTGTGTTTTTAAGTCAAACTCGACTCATCTATCTTGTTTAATCTATTTTGAGTTTAATCTCAAGTACATTATCAAGCTCGAACTTGAGGTCCAATGGATAATTTTTATTACAAATTATAATGAAAGAGTTGGATTTACAAGCGTGTTCATGAACACTTACCATTAGCACGTTTACAAAATGAGTTCAAATTCGAACCCTTTTATTAATCAAACAAATTTGAACCAAACGTTAATTTCATTGAGTTCGAGTTGTTCAAGAACGGATCGGTTCTATTTTCTACTTATGGTTGGGCTTTGGAGTACCAAAGACTTTTTATCTTTGGAAGTAAGCGTGTGGTAAAAGTAATTATAATGTTATATGTATAGTGTGAATCCCACAATATATTTTTAGAAGAAAATTTAAAGTCATTACAGCTAGGTGTGTAACAACAATAGCTGTGTGAATTAGTTAATTTATTTGTTATTTTTCAATTAACATTGTTTTTCGATTGTCTTTGATTAACTAGATTAGCTAGTAACTAGCTAGAGAAGTTTATTAGTATTTAGGGTATTTTATTAAATTTGAAAGACTTTTATATACGGAGTATTATTTTAGCAAGTGATCAAGGTCGTCGAGTCTAATTTTGTGTGTTCAAAGTCAAGTTCGACTCCTTTCTATCTTGTTTAGTTTATTTTGAGTTTATTCTCGAATATATTATCAAGCTCGAGCTTGAGGCCTAATGAATATATAAAATTTAATTACAAATTATAATGAAAGAGTCAGTTTTACAAGACCTTTTTTTTTTTTTTTGTGGGAAGGTAAAATATATAGGATTTACAAGAATGTTCATGAACACTTATCATTAGCACATTCACAAAATGAGTTCAAATGCAAACCCCTTTATTAATCAAACAAGTTTGAGCCAAAACGTTAATCTCATTGAGCTCGAGTTGTTTGTGAATTGAATTGATTATATTTTTTACTTATAGTTGGACTTTGGAGTACCAAAGACTTTTTATCTTTGGAAGGAAGCTGGTGGTACAGTTGCATGAAAAACACTATCATTAGCACATTCACAAAATGAGTTCAAATTCGAACCCTTTATTAATCAAACAAGTTTGAGCCAAATATTAATCTCATTGAACTCGAGTTGATCGTGAATGGAATCGATTATATTTTTTTACTTATAGTTGGGCTTTGGAGTAGCAAGGACTTTTTCTCGTTGGAAGGAATCTGGTGGTACAATTGCATGAAAATCAATTATAATGTTATATACCACCATTGCATGAAAAGCAATTATAACCTTATATGTACAATATTGTGGATCCCACAATTTTTTTTTTTAAAAAGAAAAAAAAAAAAATTAAAGTCTTAGCTTTTGACAACGGACAATACAACTAAGGTGTGTGAATTAAGTTTTTTTTTTTTTTTTTCCCAGCAAATACAAGAGACTACATACATAGAACCAAAGGTACAAGCAGGCAAGGCAAAACATAAACACACCACATTACAAGAAACAGGAGCAAAAACAAAAAGACCCAAAAGAGACTGAAACCCCACAAGAGCAGGAACGTGGATTGGACTAAAGGCCCAGCCAAATAGACCCATTGAAGAGGAGGCCCACGCACAATAACCAGAAGCTTCAGCCGGACCCACTGCCGCACACCCAGCGTGAACCAAACGCCAACATAATGACGTCAGCATGATGCAAGAACCGGAAAACACCACCGGCATCGGAAAACACCATAAGCATAGGAGACCTTGAGAACGAGACACCAGCTGCAACGACCAAGACGGTAACCACCAAGCCGAAAACGAGTGAGAATTATCCCACAAAGGGATTTGAGAATAAAATGCTTGGCCAAAAGAAAGCCAATAAGGAGCAAGGGTTTCCTGGACAGAGTTAGGCAGAGTGCTCCCAAGAGTGAACGCAGCATGGCCATGATCAAGCAGCAAAGAGATCGGAAAACGCCAGTACAGAGGAACCACAGCCCCATCGAGGCCGGCATGAACGGTATCAGCGGGATGGCGGCGGGGAATTCTCAACCACACCAAGACCCAACACAGAGACACGAGAAGACCCCGGGCAAGGACAAACGCAGGCAACAAACACAAACCCACCAAAAGAAAAGCAGCAGCAACACCCACCCAAACCACATAGACCACAGCAACCGATGGAACGCCAACCACCGGTGGACCCAAGGAAACCCAATCGAACACCGAGACGAAACAAACACCAACCCAACACAGAGCTAGAAGGAGAACTAAAGAAGAAACAACGAACCCAATACCGGGATCAAAGGGAAAGGTCGACAAAGAAGAGCCACGAGGGAGGGGAGATGGCAAGGAAGCCATCCCCGCAAACCACGACAGCAAAACAAAAGCCCTAACTCTGATGAACAGAGAGACTGTTACAGTGAACAGAGACTGCTACAGTGAGTAGAACATGCGAGAACTTTAGATAGAAACATAAACATAAACATAAATCGTTCACGATTTATTGACATGAACAAAGGAGCTCAATCGAGCTCTGCCAACCTAAGCTCGATCTTGGTTGGGCAAAGCTCGAGCATTTGCTTGTTTGTAACAAGTGAAGTCTGGGGACCATTTTATTTGATATTTTTCAATTAACATTTTTGGATGGTCTTTGATTATAACTAGATGAGCTACGTCTTTGATTATAACTATATGAGCTAGGAACTAATTAGAGAGGTTAATTTGTAGTAAGGTTATTTTATCAAATTTGGAAGACTTTTATTAAAAAAATAATAAATAAATAAATTAATGGATATTAATGAACTAGTGGCCTAATGGTATCAGTCTCTTACCTTCTAAAGAGAGATCAGGGCTTCAAGTCTCAGAAGAGATAAATGTGTGTGAGTACCAATTAAGGAAAAAAAAAAAAAAAACTAATATATATATATATTATTTTAACAAGTGATCAAGATCGTCGACTCTAATTTTGTGTGTTCAAGTCAAGCTCGACTCATTATCAAACTTGAGCTTGAGGCACATGAAAAAAAAATGTAATTACCAATTATAATGAAAGAATCACACTTATCACTAGCACATTCACAAAAATGAATTCAAATTCAAACTCCTAACGTTAATCTCGTTTAGCTCGAGTTGCTATAACTCTGGAATACCAAAACATTTTTTATCTTTGGAAGGAAGTGAGTGGCGATGGTCCTTCAAACGTGACACTTAGGACTCCAAGCCCGCACAATTTGACTTACGCATTGAAAGGTTGTTTTTAGGGTAGTTTGCAAGGGGTAAAAATCACCTCTAGTGAAATAATGTGCCATTTATTCCATTTTGAACTAAGTGGTCCAGAAATGGCCACGTCACTCATGTTTAGGATGCATGGTAAAAAAATATTAAGATACAGTAAGAAAATATTGGAATCCACTTTATTAAAATATATTTTACTTATAAAAATGAAGAAAATGAATTACTGGTGATCCTTGTCTGATTTGCAAGTCCACCACAATTATTGCATACTTAAAGTGGGTATGTTTGGCCTCAATTTTCCGTGTGAATCTCGCATGACAGGAGTGTAGGGTTCGTTTACATCATGGGCCTCACACAAGGCTTTGCCAAATAATCCTTTCAAATATCATTTTTTTTGTTTGTGGGCCCCAAGCGAATAATACTCTTTTTATTTGTTTTTCTCCACCTATGGCCTACAATATATATATATATATATATATATATATATATATATATATATATATATATATTGCATATAAATATATAAAAAAACAAATGTAGAAAATATGTTTAAAAAATTTTTATGAAAAAGATAATAATAATAATAATAAAATTGACTAACCAGTACCATACCATGGTGATGGTCAAATATTTTGCGATCTGATCCAAAAATTTAAGTTATTAGATAAGATAATACTCAACTCATATATACGCATTCACTTTCTCATCCGCAATTATTGTAAGACAAAGTCCTCCTTATAACTAAATCTGTCAATGGATTGGATTCTGATCTGAATCTGATCTGATTAGTCGAATATAGATTAAATAAAAAATTCGACAACCAGATTACGATCAAAATCCAATAACCCGTTAGTCTAACAAATCGAATATAGATTATGCTTAACTGATCCAAATATATATATATATATACTCCTATCAGATTTGTATTAGAATTTTGAAGGTAGCGCAAAAGAAAAAAAAAAAAGAAAAAAAAAATCATAATTTTATATGTATAATAGTGTGGTGTTCTCGCGTACGAATAAATCTCCTAATATACATGCTAATACTGACATAACATTTATTCATTAATAAAGAGTAAATAATTTCTTTTTCTTTTTCTTTTTTCTTCTATATTTTATTTATTTTTTGTTTTCTATCATTTTTTTTCCTAATCATTGTTTTTTATTCTCTTTTGCATTATTATTATTATTATTATTATTTTTTTTTTCTGTTTTTTTTTTTTTAATAAAAAATTACACATTTATCGGATTGGTTCAGATTATCAGATCGAATATTGGTTTATTAACAAATCAAATATAAATTCACTTATAAAAACTTTGTCAAATTATCAGATCGAGTAAAAAGACTGTATCAAATTTAAATTGCATCAAGCCAAATCTGTTCCAGATTTTTCCGCAGACCCTTCTGAGAGTTTATTTGTAACAGCTGACCCCTTTATTACGTTAACTCAATAAGGCTCTCCGAAATTTTCTGCAGACCCCTCTAAGGCCATCTACACCAGCCTCTTCAGATTTTGGCTCTCTAAAAACGCCACATCAGCTTTTCCAAGAGCCACATCAATAATTCCAAGAGCCACGTCAGCAGTTTTCGCTCTCCAGAAACATGCACTCCATCAGGCTCTCCAAATTTTCGCTCTCAAAAAAAAATAATAAAAAAAAATTAAAATAATTTTTTATTTTTTATTTTATTTTATTTTATTTTTTAACTTTTCCTAAATGGCTATATTTGTAACGGTTATATTTTTCATCTTATATAATGAAACTCATTTGCTCATCTGAAAATCATCACTATATTTATCTCTCTCCATTGTAGCAAAATATCATCATCCATCTTTTTCAATTTCGAAATTCGAATGACTTCGTCATCACAAGCTTTTCCTTTAGCTTACTCTAATTCTTCATCTTTCTCGTCATCCTCTTCGGAAGATGATCCTTTTGGGGCGTTGATTCAACAAGATCAAGACGAATTCTATGAGATTATGAATTCAGTTAGGCCAGAGATAGTTAAGCAAGTTTTTCCAATCCGTAAAAAGAAGCGGTACATTCATCATGATCGAGAAGGAAGCCACTATCAACTAATGAAAGACTATTTCAACAACAATTGCATATATCCACCGAAGTACTTTCACTGGCGATTCAGGATGTAACGAGAACTTTTTCTTCGTATCCTTAATGATGTCAAAGCTTATGATGACTACTTTGTCCAAAAAAAGGATGTGACTGGTCATCTAGGGTTGTCTTCTATACAGAAGATGACAACTGTTGTTCGTATACTCGCATATAGTTATGCAGCTGATCACTATGATGAGTATATTAAAATCGGTGAGAGCACTGTCATTAAATGCTTGAAGGCATTTTGTAATGCTATTGTTGCTGTGTATGCAGAGAAGTATATGCGCCCACCCAATGAAGCCGACATAGTATGGCTGCTTGAAGAAGGGGAGCAGAGAGGATTTTTGGGTATGCTTAGTTCTATCGACTGTATGCACTGGGAGTGGAAGAATTGCCAAGTGGAGTGGCAAGGCACACATAGGGGACGATCTGGCAAGAAAACTCTCATATTGGAAGCAGTTGCCTCACAAGATTTGTGGATCTGGCATGCATTCTTCGAAATGCCTGGTTCACACAATGATATAAATGTGTTGGATCATTCCTTAGTATTCAATGGTATCGTTAATGGCCAATTACCTCCGGTTAATTATGTAGTGAATGGACATCATTATAGAATGGGGTATTACCTGTCTGATGGTATATACCCTAAGTTGGCAACTTTGATGCAGACCATCCCACATCCAACCACTACAAAAGAAAAATTATTTGCTCAGCGACAAGAGGCAGCAAGGAAAGATGTGGAACGGGCTTTTGGGGTATTGCAAATCAAGTGGGCAATAATGCAAGGACCAGTGCGTTACTGGAGAAAGACGACTTGCGCCTCATAATGAAAATGTGCATCATCCTTCACAATATGATCATTGAAGATGAGCGTCACACAAATGTTGGAAGATGGACTCCGCCACCGGAGGATACAATCTCGATTCCCACTTTAGGTCGATGCCCATCGGTTTTAGTGGCACACATATCCTTTCACCAACTTCAGATTCGTAACAGAGAGACAAATATGCAGTTAAGGAATGATTTGATGGAAAATTTGTGAAACCGCTATGCTGATGAGGATGTTTAATTTATGTTACATTTTGTTTTATATTAAGATGTTATGACATTTCGTGCACTAGTATTTTTATTATGTAATGGTTTTTTAAGATTGGAATAAGAAAATATGTATTTTAATTTTTTTTTTTTGAATAAAGTTAAAAAATTTGAGTTTTTAAACTTTTTTTTAAAAATTATAGCCGTTGAGGCATTGTTTGGTACTATAGAAATAGTGCCTTAACGGCCAAATACATTATTTGGCCTACACATTTAAAATTTAAAGCAAAATTTTTTTTTTAAAAAAAACAAAATTTTAAGGGAAAAAAAGGGTATAATTTGAATTTTTAAACCTTTTTTTAAAAATTTTTGCCGTTAAGGCACTATTTGGTACTGTAGAAACAGTGCCTTAACGGCCAAATACACTATTTGGCCTACACATTTAAAATTTAAAGCAAAAAAGTAAAAAAAAAAAAAAAAAAATACAAATTTTAAGGGAAAAAAAAAAGAAGCTTTTTTAATTTATTTTTGGGCCCAAATTTTTTTTTTTTTGACAAACAATGCCTAAACAATATATTTTTTATTTAATGAATTTTATTATTATTATTTTTTAAAAAAAAGAGCTCTAAATAACCTATTTTTAGGTTTTTTTTTAAAAAAAAAAAAAAAAAAAAAATCTCCCAGGCACTGTTTGGCTACTGTACAGTACCTGCCACAAAAAGCCAAAAGACAGGCAGCCAAAACGGTGCCATTTTGAGACCATAAAAAACAAAAAAAAAATTACCCCATATCGCGGGCCGACTCGCTGGATACCACGAGCCTAAAATGGGCCCTACCAGTTTGAAGAGGCCGCTGCACTGACCCAAAGCATGTTTGGCTTACGGAAATTGGGTTCCACTAGTGGGCTGCGGATGGCCTAAGAGTCTATTTGTAACAGCTAACCTCTTTATTATGTCAACTCAATAAGAGTCAAAATTTTGAATAATTATGTCAAATGGTCTAAGTAAATATTAGCAATATATAAAAATAATTAATTTTATCAAAGTCTAGTTGTTACCATCCACGTCACAGACCATCATAAGGTTGTCAAGTCTCCTCCTAAAGTTCCATTCACGTGAAGAAGAAGAAGAAGAAAAAAAGTCGTAATCAAATACAAACCACTTGATTTTATAATTGATTATAGCACTTATATTATAAATGAAAACTACTTGATATTATAATTGATACATGTCGTTTTAACTTGCATATAATAAATAAATTAGGTAACATTAGGTGGAGCCAAGTAAGTTGTGGTTGTACACTAACACCAATTTTACTCATCAACAACAACAACAAAAATAAAATAAAAATAAAAATAAATTAATTTTTAATTTATTTATTTATGATATTCTTCTTTAACTTGAATTATAAACAAATTAGGCTTTATGTGAGTCTGATTGAAGAGACCTAGCCTATTGAGGTGCTCTATCTGAGTATTGACGAGTCTGGGGATTTCTTGAAACCTAGGCGTGCCTTTAACAACTATGGGGCCAAGCCTGCACGGTTTTGTTCTTGGGCTTTACCCCAAAAGGTCTCATACCAATTGGAATGACACATCTACATATATAACACTTCCCCTTTCCACACTTAGGCGATGTGAGATTGTGCATGTAGCTCGCCCAGTGTGGTAGGGTGAAATTATCTAGACGACGCAAAAAATGAAAGTAAAATAGAAATTAGGGAGGAATAGGGCTGTAAACCCTACGAATCACTAGTGTTTAACGTCTCTAGCAAGACGTTGGGTTCTTTTAACCCGGATAAAAAATCTTGTTATGCATCCCCTCCTTGATAGGGTGAAATGACTTTTGAGCCCCACCTAACAAACTGTTCCCTAGGAAACTTGTTGGATTTGATTCAAATGGAGTTGATGGTCGTCTCCATCGTCATGGACGACACTTCTCTTCTCAGGATCTTCACCTTCTAAGGTTATGGAAACCCTAAAAGCCGCTACAATAGTATTAGCCTTCTGAATAATATGGTGTTATTGGATATATTTAGAGCTTTTGATAAACACCGCATGTTATAGTATGTTTTCCTTCAAATCTTGCCTTAAAACCTTTTACCAACTAGATGCTTCGTGTGTCGTTAATGCATAAGGGAACAAATCAAGTCGTTCTGAGTCTAAATTTAAAAGCTCGAAGTTAGCTTTCCAATGGTACCAACTATACACCAAACTCCAGTTGTAGTGAGAGTTATGACAGTTTTAGTGACTTTAAACTTACATAGACTGAGCTCTTAAATTTGTGGTCATGGCAGTGGGAGGGCACATCAAGCTTCGCTGCCTGTAGCTTCAACCACAGGCCAATTCATGAGCTCGTTCGTAAAGTAACGAGCTAAATAGGGAGTTGTTTGAGTTCAACTTATGTAATAATCGAAAACATTTATTACAACATAGAATCCCCAAAAATGTCAAAGATCTAGAGTTTAGAGCACAAACCTAGGGCTTTTTCAAGCCTTAAAAGGATTATTTAACCACTCATGGATGTGATCTTTCCGAACGGCTATAAAGGGACAAGCGGTGGCTGATTTCCTGTTAGAATGTGATGTAGAAGACATGGAAGATGACCCTGGAAGCGCATCATGGAAGCTTTCTTATTTTTTATTTGTGAGAGTTAATATATATGTTAATAATTTTTTTAAAATTTTGGTTGATATGTTCAATAACCTTCATTGATAGGATGAAGGCTTGGGACCAATAGGCTTGAATGGATGGAAAGCTGCATAGTCAGCCAATAGCCAATCCGAATGGGTAGACTTACATGATTACGGCACTTCTCTTCTCAAGATCTTCACCTTCTAAGGTTATGGAAAGTGTAAAGCATATGACCATTCATTCCAACATACATAGACTTATGAATAGAATTAAAAGATCAATTGGAAGTATTAAACTACACAAATTATGTAGAAACAAGATTTATATATATAAGAGGTCAAGACAATAGTTACAACATAAATCCCCAATTTACTCCATAAACTACGTTTTTGCCTGCTATTACATATTGACTACCAGAAGCCTCAAGATCAAATGAAGGAACGCAAAGCCACGAACTGAAAAATAACTCCTCAAACGAATTGGCTTGTCAACTCAATGTCAACTACCGAGAGAATCCTAAGATAACGAAATGAAATTTAATTCACATAGTTGTATCTAGTGTAGGTTAGCAATTGATAAGTGCTTAAATGTTGCACATTTCAGCACCTAAACTAGGGTATTTTAGTCATTGCATCTATCTTATTTTCATGTTTTAGTTCTAATTTATGTTTTTGTCAATTTCAGGTCAATAAGGTTCAAACGGACTAATTTCGGTTCACTAAAGCCTTTTTGGAGTCAAGCAAAGACATTCAGAAAAAGTTCAGAAAATGGCAAAAAAAGGTCGCAGCCCATTGCTCGTGTAGTGTGTTTATTATTCAAAAGCGGTCAATCTCGGGCCTTTGATGATGTTCCCAAAGATGAAGAAGCAAACCAATTAGCCCGGGGCCAAAATGGAGCTAAATAAGGTTTAAAGGAAATTTCCAACTCTTGGGGATCGATCCCCCAGGGTGGGGGATCAATTCCCCACTATTCACAGAAATAAAAATGCCCTTGGGGGATCGATCCCCAAGGCTGTGGGATCAATCCCCCAGTACTTGGCTGCATTACGGGATTTTCTTATTTTGGGCTTATTTTTGTAACTTATGGGCTTTAATAGGGTTTGTTACTTAAGGCCCAGTGAGCCATTAGTTTAGGGTTAGTTATTATTTTATTTAGGTGAATATTATTACTTTTAATAATAAAGTTTTATTTTTTAAGTCTATATCAAGATATTCTCTCTGGAGAATGGGAGGAGGGTGAGAAGAGAGGGAAGAGTGGAGGCACAAGGTTTGGGAAGAACATCTACATACTCATCTCTCTAGAGCTTCAAGGAAGAAGAAGAAGGAGCAAAGCATAGAGGAGGATATTGTTGACACCTTGACCACCACAACCATGATGGCCTAGATCTCCACTTAGGGCTTGGTTGAGCCCTAAGTTTATGTATTTCTAAACCCTTGTATTTCTATTTTTGGGGAGATTAATATATTATTGTAGTTGATGTTATGGCCTTGTGATTCCTATTTACATACTTGATTTGACAAATCATGGCTTGTGTTAGTTTAATTCTTCCATTAACTCTATATGTTAATTATATGTCTATGTATAATTAATCTAGGGTTATGCTCTTCATTAAATATTAAAGATTAATTCTTTCATTAATTCTCTATGTAATTGCATGTCTATGTGTGATTAGAGGATTATACTCAACACTCGATTCCATTGTTATTTGGGTTTAGTGATGGCCATGGCATGGGTTTTGTTGGATGGGATTGCTCATTAATTTGATGGGTTATACTTTATCTTGATGGGTTGTGCTATAAATTAGTTTACTTGTTAGTAGGTAGACATTTCATTGCTTGAATTGATAATTCACACTTATTATATGCAAATTCCATTATCCTCTTGATTAATGTATGTTCTCATTAGATGCAATTGTGGTTAGTTTGATGGAGTATGCTTAGGCTTGATGGGTTGTTCTACATCCTAGTTTACATATCATTAAGTAGACAATTCATACTTACATTTGATAATTCTTGCATACTTGATTGCAAGTTGTTTTAGTGATTGAAGCTACATTTAAGTTGCAATAATGTTCTCCCCATTAATGAAAAACAAGTGGTTAATTGTATGAGCTTAGTGGTAATTCCAATAAACCCTAAGAATTCTCTTCTATCTCTTAAACCCTTAACTCTAATTTAGTTTATTTTCATTGCATTTCAATTTAATTGTTCACTAGCTTAATCAACCAACCATCTCTTTATTTTCTCTCTCTTATGGTAATCACTTGTTAAAACCAATTGTCTTATTTAAATCCAAGCCAAAGGTCTCTTGGGTTCGATCCCTTCTCACTTCATATTACATCGTATAAGTGTCTAGCAGTTTATAAATTATGAAATATGACGCCCACTTGACATTAATTCTAAACCTAAAGTGTTGTGCATTATTTTGTGCACACGCTAGGTCGCACCAGCAATATCCAGAACCTTATCACACTGCTCTGAGGAGCGAATAAATGGTTGGAAGTCACAGAAAACCTTTTCATCATTTCCCTCTTTTATAGCCTTAGGTCACTCAGGTGATATATTGTTGGGTCTCCAGATAAAAAACGGATCAGGGTTCATACCTCTTTTGGGTCATGTTGCCCTAATCTCTATATTTCTGGAGCTGTTGCCAAGTGTACCTCTCCTATTGAGTGACCCAAACATAGCTAGCTGTAAAGGCAATTGTATTATTCCAGCTGTCTTTTGCTATTATCCTCAAATTGGGCCTTGCCTTAGTGAGCAAATAGTATTATGATTTTAATCATTCCTTTACCGCATGTATGTGATCCTAGATTTGATCTATGACTATTTGTGGTTGTTGTGCCATTGTTAGATATGACTATGATGAGATTTATCCCTGCATATGATGAGATCATTGAGATAGCTAATAAGTTAGGCTCCTTAATATTTTACACCATTGTTAAATATGATTTTGTGGGATTGATGTGTAGGTGGGCTGGCTAATAAGTCACGACACTCTACTTGTGCCATTGTTAGATATTTTACTGAGACATTGAGCTTAAATTTTGCTCCCATAACTCAAGATTTATTATCTTTTGGCAAGAGGGTTATTCAGTTTTAATACAAGCATTCTCAACTATTCTACTCATTTATCTTACATTAAGACATTGATCACCTTTTGGTAGAACTAATGTCTTATTGTAGGTAAATGTCATGTAAGACCTCAACCCAAGACCATCTAACCGGTTAGGAGACTTTCCTAACCGGTTACGAGGAAAAATCAGAGGTGACAACATTCTACCTAAGCATATATAACTGGTTACAAAATCTAACCACCCGTAGACTTGTACTACAGATCAGCAAAAACCTGACAGTAAGGGTTTTCCGAGAAAAAATGGGTTTTTGAGGGCCAATATGAGGTTTTGAATGATAGCACTTGCTTGATCAGTTAACCTTACCTTTTTGGGAATATTGCTCTTAGAAGTGCATTTTTTAGTACACAAATCTTTAAGAAAAACAAAGGAGAGTTTAGAAAGATATTACCATACTACACCAGACCAGTAAAGATATACCAATATGAAGCACAAAAGGGCAAAATAGAGAAGTTACCCCTAAACTTAGTCCTTAGTACCTGGCAAAATCATCAAGCTCTAACACACATCAAAGTTAGGGCTGTAAATGAACTGAGCCGTTCATGAACAGCTCGGGTTCGGCTCGTTAAAAGCTCGGCTCGGGCTCATTCGTTTAGTAAACGAGGGGGGGGGGGGAGCGGGATTATATATATATGTATGTATGCATAACTTAAAGAAAACCTAATTCATGTCGTTGCCATTGGATTGATGTTTTAAAATGTCCAAAAGAGGAAGTGTGATATGGAATTGCTGAAGTTTGATCTTGTGTCATCCACCAATAGAGAGGAAGTATGTGGCAAGTTCCAATGGAAACCCAACCTTTATTGTTTAAGGATTCTAAGGCATGTTTCTAGATTCCATCAATACTTAGATATGAAAAATACATCATTTAAAACATGTATAAACTCATAAAGAAATTAAATCAATCCATGAATTATGATATTGATCAATCCATTCGTGAAGTTAACTTTTTGCTTGAGGCCAATTCAATCTGGGATCGACTTTAGAGGGCCATAACTCTTTCATTTCTAATCCAAATCAGTTCATTCCTGAGTCTAAATTCAAGAGCTTGAAGTTATCTTTCCAATGGTAGATACTATGGAAGTATGAACCAGATATGTCAGACATGTTGAGTTGGGTTAATGTGGACATTGATAAGGATATTTCCTATGAAGAGGGACTGGTCCAGATTCTTGACACTCGAGAAAAGGTGTTAAGTGAGGACTTCTCCCAAAATGTAAGAAGTGGGAAATGATTAGATGGAGGTTGTTTTGATTTTTAGTCTAGTTGATTTGAGCTTATAAGTCCTTAGGGGTGTTTGAATGGCCGAAACATAATTCCAATCAGTTGGAATCGAAGACTTCATCAAGGCGAACATTAAAGCCTGAGGCATCACCACTTTTTACTAAAGCGAGGAGGTTCAAAGGAGGAGAGAGAAGGTGGCAGCCCTTGGCTGCCATGGAATCCGGCCAAGAAGGGAGATTTTGGTTGATAAAAAATTGGTCAAACCTTTAAGATAAAGACTTGACTTCGGCGGCTATGTCATTGGAATTGTCAAGTTGATATAAGCCGACATTCTTCTTTCCACCTAAATTTCTACCATTTTTGGAATTATTTGGAGTTATTTTAAAATCTAGAGATTTAATTATCTTAATCTAATTAAATTATATATGATTGTTCCAGTGATGTAATTAAGTTTTTGATTTGATATATGTATTGACCATGATATGATCTTTGACATATAATTAATTGAAGCCATTTGAAGTTGATCTAAATTCTAGAGAAATTAATTAATTAATTTTTGGTTAAATATTTCATACATTTAAATAAATATTTGACTTGATACAGGGGTATCAGTTTGACCCTGAAGAGATTCCAGAGCTTGATGCAAAGCGATCCAAGAAAGCCTATGATCTGGCCTAGTGGAATAAGACCTTCAATTCATGCAGCAAGAACAGAGCCAACAGGGATATGAAGAGACCATCCATAGCGAAACGCGAAAGAGAAGTGAACTTATTCTTATACTCTGTCACTATAATAAGCATGAATCATTAATACAAGCATGGATTGTCTATCTATCTGTGAAATTAAATGCAATTACATTATATTTACACTAATGACAAACAAATTAAACTAATTAACTAAGGTTGTAGAATAATCCATCAAGCATAAGTATAACCCATTAAATCAATCACAAGTGTTTGAACACCATTCCTTGAAACTCGAGCAATAATTCAAGAAAGCTGGAGCTTTGTTCCTAAAGCTCGAGCCTGAGCCCAATAGCTCACACTCTACTCCTTAAGCTTGAGCCTTCCAGGACCTCATACATGGTAAATGAATGCCAAATAATGAATTTCATGCTCAATGCACACTCCAGTGAAAAAATGACATATTAAACCCTAATTTTTCATATTATTCACATTAAGGGCAAAATTCAACATCTACGAAGATGAGGAAAATGTATCAGAGAGAGTAGAGATATCTTCCCAAAGCATTCTTCTATCTAGTACATTATTTTCTCCATAGATGAAAGAAGCATTGAAGGACTTGTTGTCAGCCACCACATTAATAGAGCAGTGAATGGCCTATCTTGAGTTAAAAATTAGGGATAATTGAATAACTGTGGGGTCTCAAAGAAACCAGATTTTACCCAGGGGTGGGTGATTGTAATTGTGAATCAAACACTCATCATACCCCCAAACTTAGATATTGCTAGTCCCTAGCAATGAACTATAAGGAAAAGAAAGAAATAAACAACTAAGTAACTATGAATTAGAAAGCAATAAAAGGATAGCACCTCTTTTGTAGGACATCGAACCTATCTTTTGATATCTCTCACACTCCTTACAAAAATTATAAGCATCTGTATGGATGGTGGGCCAAAATATCCCACTTTTAAGAACCTTCAAGGTGGTCTTCTTTACACTAAAATGGCCACCACATGCAAGGGTATGGCAAAATACAAAGACATTTGGAACCTCACTCTCCAAAATACATCTTCTCACAATTTGATCCAGGCAATATCGAAACAAAATAGGATCTTCCTAATAATATTTCTGAATGTTGGCAAAAAACTGGTTCTTTTCTTGCCTTGATTAATTAGTTGGAAGTTTGCCAATTGTAAGAAAATTCACAATATCGGCAAACCAAGGCATTTTTCCATTATAAACTTGGAAGAGTTGTTCATCCAGAAAAGAATCATGAATTGGTGGGCTTGGGGATGATTCTACCATTATCCTTGAAAGATGATCGACAACCACATTTTCGGTGCCTTTCTTATCTTTGATCTCGAAATCAAATTCTTTAAAAAGAGGATAAGACTAAAAAAGATGAGGAAAAGATCATGGCGGTAAGAGAATTAAAGTTGGCAAAAAAGAGTTGGTGACATTTAATGCAGTTTGATAAGGGTATACTAAATATATATAAATAAAATCATATATACGCTTCCTGGCTTTTATTCCCAGACATGGGTGTTTAGGGGCCTGTCGAGATTGGGCTATCGATTCAGCTTTTATGTCAAATGGAGTTTCCTTTATTTAATTGGGTTGAACTGACATGCGCATATGGCTCCTATTGTTAGGCCTCCAACTGACAGTGGGCCTCTAGATGCTTTTAGTTCAGTCGCGGGCTACTCTTTTGCTGCCATGTGGTGTGTTTTAATTAACAACACATTTAGCATATGCAACAAGCCTTTAAAATCCCTAGGTAGCCTTTTAAATCCCTAGGTATCTCTAGAGGACGAGTGAAGTCTCGTGAGGGTTTACCAGAAATGATACCCACAAATATTAAGCAACAAGGCTCATTCTAGTATACATTGAAACATGTGACTTTGGGGAAAAACTCTATCATGAAGACTACAACAAGTATGCATACAATGACATTTCAAAACAATATTCAATTCCCAGCGTTCTGTTGAAAATAAACTTGATTTTAGAATTTTAGTTGTAATTTGTATTTTCAAGTATTTGGTATACATGATGTATGTGTGTATTTCATGTTAGTGGGGTAGTAAATGGTCTTGATGAAGAATGTTATGTAAGACTAAGAGGTATGGGAATTAAGTCTCCTAAATACTATGTTAGTGGGAGTTTGTATTTGTGTTAGTGGAAGACATGAGAGTTAAGTCTACTAAATACTATGTTAGTGGGATTAGTGGGTATAATTGGGCATTGAAATGTAATTGGTTACATATGTCTTAGAGCCTATATAAACTTATGTACTATACCTATTTTAAGGGAGTAGAAGTGGAATAAAATAAGTTTTCAAGTATTCCTCCATATCATTATCTTCCAAAATAATATTGAGTGTTGTGTGTATATAGGCCACTATTTCCAACAAAGTGGTATCATTGTAAAACCAGAAAGTGGTATCAAAGAAAAAGTCAACACAGTGGTATCAGAGCCAGGTCATTATTAGAGCCAGGTCATTATTAGAGCCAAGGTTTCATGTTTAGAGTTGAGACGATCCTGAAGGCCTGACGAAGTTGATCCTAGAAGGTTCAACATTTTGAGAAAAACATGTTTCTCCTTGATGATGATGAAGGGGAGAAAATGTATTTTCTTAGTGAGAAGATAATGTTCTCTAATTATAGGAGAATGAGAATCATTATGACTTCATACCTTCACGCATGTGATTTGTGGGATGTTGTTGGATTAGAGCCAAAGAATGGCATGTCCAACAAGCTTCGTGAAAAGAAAGAAGAAAAGGCATTGGTAGTATTGCAAAAGGCAATACATCAAGAAATTTGGGAGTATTTTGGAGAGTCCAAAACTCCAAGTTGTGTTTGGAAGATGCTCGAGACCATCATTTCCAATCATAGAGGTGAATCACTACCCATGGAGTATTGGGTATAATGCTTTGATAAAGATGAGTTTACAAAGGCGGATTATGAAAGTCTTAAGGATAAAGGTGTGGAAAATGAAGAGGCGTATAACATAAATCAAGTTGAAGAATTTGAAGAGCAACTTGAAATGGTGAATGAGGAAGAGGTAAAGAAATGTGTTGAAGAAGGGATTAAAAAAGTGGAGGAGAATGAAGTTAAAAGAGAAGACAAAGAAGAAAAAGTGTTAAAGAAGATGCATAAGTTGATGAATTTGGTGCATTAACATCTTCAAGTATGGTTACAAATTCCACCTTGAAAGAAGTTATATTTGAATTATTTGATAAAATTATGATTTATTCATATTTATCTCAATTGGAAAAAGAAATCAAATATTATGAAAATTATGTTCATGTTGTGGAGAATGAAGAACTTCTCTTAAAGAAAGTTGTTCCAAAAAAGTATGAGATTGAAGCCCAAGTTAATAAGAAATTCTCAAATTATTTTTTTAAAAATAGTTTGGAGAATTTTGTAATTGATACAGGTTAGGTGAATATGGAGTTATTTTTTGACTCTAAAGAAAAAACATATGTGAAGTTGAAGAGTCATAAAAAATTCAAGAAGAAAAAAGATCGATGGTGAATTTGTATAAAGAGGGTGATATATGATTATGTGAAGACATCAAACAAGCATTTGAAAATTTTTCACAAGCCATATACATCAATGGAAATGGCCAAGAAAATTGTTGCAGATGAAGGAGGTGGAACTCAAGACAAAGTAACAAACTTTTGACCGAGCCCCCAAGATCAATAAGAAGCTTACTTTCAAGTTACAAAATCAAGTTTAAAGGGGGGTGTTGAAAATAAACTTGATTTTAGAATTTTAGTTGTAATTTGTATTTTCAAGTATTTGGTATACATGATGCATGTGTGTATTTCATGTTAGTGGGGTAGTAAATGGTCTTGATGAAGAAGGTTATGTAAGACTCAGAGGTATGGGAATTAAGTCTCCTAAATACTATGTTAGTGGGAGTTTGTATTTGTATTAGTGGAAGACATGAGAGTTAAGTCTACTAAATACTATGTTAGTGGGATTAGTGGGTGTAATTGGGTATTGAAATGTAATTGGTTACATATGTCTTAGAGCCTATATAAACTCATGTACTATACCTATTTTAAGGGAATAGAAGTGGAATAAAATAAGTTTTCAAGTATTCCTCCATATCATTATCTTCCAAAATAATATTGAGTGTTGTGTGTATATAGGCCACTATTTCCAACAAAGTGGTATCATAGTATAACCAGAAAGTGGTATAAAAGAAAAAGTCAACAAATGCATCGACAAACTAGTCCACATACCTGTTCTTCAACATCTCATTTATAATAGAATTTCATCTTAAGTTCCTTAGAAGTGAACCAGAATTTAAGTTTCTATTTATAAAGCACTTTTAAACCTTTTATGGCTCATACAATATCTTCTACATCCTTAATTAATCTTTTGAAATCACAATCCAAGGCATGAATTTATTTGAACACATTTTGTTTTTTGTTTTGTTTTTTATTTTTTTATGCATGACCATGTGCAATGTCTAAGTTTCTTAAGCTCTCTAATCACCCCATGTAATAAGCGTTGAGCCAATGACTCCCAAACCAAAACAATTGACTGGTAAAAGGAGACCAATTTTTAAGAAAGTTCATAGAGATGAAAGTCTATAACATGGTGAGTAATGTGGGTCAATTGCATTCTACTTCTAGATACTGTCATTCTCAGGATGCAGAGAGCAATATAAGTTTAAAAATTCATTCCACATTGATGTCATCTTATTTCTTTCTCCTATGAGAAGGAATATGCGCATGAGTGGGGGTTTTAGTGGAGAATATATTTCGTGGGTTTTATAATACCCCTAATTTTAAAAGGATAGTTCTGGTATTTTAATAAACTATTTAAGTGCATTTTTATTTGTTTAATTATTTATTTGTGTTTATTATTCGAATTAATTGATTAATATGTTTTAATTGTTTATTTGTCTGTTTAATTGTTTTGTTTAACTGAATTGTGTTATTTGTTTTATTGAATGAAATTACATGTTTAATTTGAGTATTGA